TTTTTTTTTTTTTTTCATAGACATTTTCCTTAGTGTTTTGCACTATTTATTTATTCTTTCTAATTTGGAAATATACATGAATGAAATTCATTACTTTAGTCTCCCACAGAAACATTATCATTGAATTATACATATTTTAATGTTATGCTCTAGAAAGTTATCAAAAATGGATTTTTAAAAAATCTCCTAAAATGGATAGAAAAATTAGAAAGAGCCTCTTGAAATGTTTCATAAAAATCAGTGTTGAAGACTTATCCATTCTATGTTTTCCAGTGATGCTTTGTAAAAAGATCTATGCTAAATAGTTCTAATATAATTTACCATAGAGAAACTTCATTTTTGGTCTCTGAATTTAGTTTTTTATATTTATATCAGAAAATGAAAACCTAAGTTCCACTTAACAAAGACCTAGGTTGATTTTGTTCACCTTTGTGAAGCCCAAGACAGTGTCTGCCTATGGAAGAAACTCTATAAATATTTGTGGAATAAATTGACTCAACCATAATTTCTCTTTTATCTCAGGGCTAAATGCAGTAACTGCAATGGTTTATGTTGCTGATATATTTATTTTTCTTAACAGTTCTGCTTTTATGTTTTCAATTTCTGCTTAAACAATCTCATTGAATATATTTTAATTATAAAACACTGCAAATCCTTTTTGGAAACTGGTGTACAAAGTCATAAAATAAAATAGAGTTTACTTTCCAGATGATTAACAAAACAAGAGTTGAACTCTTTTTTTTTTTTAACATTTAACACCTTATAGAATTAAGTACATTATTACTAGATAAAGATGTAGTCCCATATTCTGAAGCTCAACCAGGCTTTTAAACAAAAAAGCAGCACAACTAGAAAATACATATACCAGATGAAGAGAAAAAGAATGGTTAAGCTTCATTTTCTTTTCATTACAAGACATGATAGGTAGGGATAAATATATATCAATACATATGTATATTGTATGCATTACATTTACGTTGAAGGAAATGTTGCAGATTTCAAGAGGCATAAAACATTTGTTATTTTAAATTTCTAGAAGAAAAATTTAATATTAGCAATTTTAAATACTGGAAAGCCCTGAAGGCCCTGGCTTTGTGGTTTTATAAAATTTGTGTTCTTTTGAAACGTTCTGCAGGAGAATGCACTGTCCTCATCTAAGCCCACATCTTAGACTGATGAAGGGAAAGCAACAATAAATTGTTTAGCTCATCTAGCAGGGAGCTTGCCACTAGGCCTTGAAACAGGTACCCAAAGCCCTGGATTCAATTCAGCAGCAACTTGGGTCTCATTAAAGGAGAGAGGACAGAACAGAACCCAAGTCAGGGCAAAGAGAAAAAAAAAATGCAGGCTGGGGACAATGTGGCAAATTCTTTGGTTTCCTGGAGCTGTCTACTTTTATGTGCCTGTGAAGATTATGGAATTCACATCTTCATGCAAGTCAGACACACTGTAGCCCATTGCATTGCACATGGTAATTTTATTTTAGGATTGCTTTCTTAGTTGGTATCTTTTCTTTCACTGCCTCACTTCATTCTTCCCCTTTTCTCTTTCTTTTCCCTCCTCCTCCTTCCCTTCCTCCCTCCTTGATCCCCCTCCTCTCTCTTTCTTTCTTTTGTAAACTCTCTAGATCTTGCTGGATTTTCTTTCTTTTAAAAAAAGAGGTATAATAATTTTGGTTTCTTTTTAACATTTGGGCTTTCTTTCAAGAAGATACCCATTTTTATACTGAGAAAGATGTGCTCTTGTATTGCTAACTTTGTAGGCTTGGAGGAACAAAAGAAGGGAGTCGGTAAGGGTTTTAAATTTACAGTATCAATGACATAACAGGGAAATGAGAGTGTGTTAAGATCGTTACTTCCCTCTGGTGGGAGAGTTTGTGACTAAGGAGGAAAGTGTATGTGGTATTAAATTAGCTGTGAGAACATAGCAAACTTCAAGGAATGTGAATCATTCAGTTTATGCTTTCCCTTCTTAGGAAGATTTTAGCCTGTGAAATGTAAATGAAGAGCACAATTACATATTGACTCTCCACTTTGTTCCTTTCATTCCCTCCCCCACCAAAGTCTATGTCCCCAAACTCAGGAAGATGCAAATACCACTGGAAGCTAAGAAATGAGGAGGAAATAAGTAATTTCTGAAGGGGTGTACACAATGTATTTTAATAAAAACCACTAATGAAAATAAAGCTATCTAAAGTAAATTCCAGGAGAATTTTAAGTATGCAATCAATGTTTAATTAGGAATTGTAAGCTTAAGTTGACATTAGTATTTCCGTTGTAAATTTGTATTGGAACAAGCATGTATTTTTAAACTTTTAAGTTTTCTTTGAGATTTAGTAGATAAATTTGGTGGTAAACTAGAAAATTCTGGACCACACTGAGTGAGTAAATAGTTTTCACTTGCATGTACTGAAAAAATTCTCTTTTATTTCTGTGTCCAATAGAGGATAAGGTAGGAAACCATGTCAATTAAAAACAGTGACACTGAACATCAGAGATAATCTGTTTGAAACCAACACAATGTATAAACTTTTTTGAAGTAAGAATTTCTTTTTGAAAATTAACAAATGGATATATAAAACCTGAATAACATTGAGAGAATGGTTAACTCTATCATGGTATTTATTGGTACAATTCATAAATGTTCCTATAATTGCACATGATGCTAATCAACTTGAAGAGTTCTTTGTTTCAGGGAGAAAATTTTATGTTTTATTAGTCCAGTGATGGATGGTTTAATGGAGAAGGTTTTCATTGAATGTTATAGTTCCAAAAATTTTTTTCCAAGTGAATTGATTTGAATAACAGATATAAAATTATTTTCAGTGTAGTTATTAGTAGTGGCTTGGTCACTGTCAAGATATAGTTATTATTATAACAAAGTATAAAATTTATACTTGATTTATCCACAATTTTAAACATGTATTATTAGACTTAATTTTTTATTACTGTGTTTTATTATTTTCAATAATTATTTTCTGTGGAACAACATACCTCAGGTACATTTCTGAGAACTTGAGTACTGTATAATGTGACACAAATGTGTTATTTATCAGATAATTTAGATAAAAGGTGTGTATCATGAGATATTATTTTTAACTATTCTAGGCATAATTATGGTATTATAATTTTTAAAATAACGGTTGATCTTTCTGAGATGCATGTTTAACCATGAATGAAATCATACAATGTTTGGGTTTAATTTCACATACTATGCAGGTGGAGAGAGAGAATAGGGTAGGCATGGGAATGGATTAGTTATGAATCGATGTTACTAGGTTTGAATGATGAATACACGTGGGTTCCTTAAAGAAGACAGTCTATGTTTGAGTGTACTTCACATAAACTAGAAACGATTGACAAAAAGCAGTAAAATTAAAAAAAAAATGGTCCTCTGTATTAATGGGTTCCACATTCTAGGACTCAACCAATCATTGATCAAAAATATTTGAAAAAAAATCTGTGTTTTACTGAACATGTACAGAGTTATTTTCTTGTCATTATTTCCTAAACAATATAGTACAACTATTTACATAGCTTTTACATTGTATTGAGTAGTATAAATCATCAAGAAGCTGTGTTTAAGTTATTTGCAAATACTATCCCATATCATGTAAGGTACTTGAGCATCCTTGGATTTTGGTATCTGTGAAGTGATCTTGAAACCAATTGCTTATGGATATAAATAAAACATGCATATCTCTTAAAGATTGTATAATTAATGTAAGATCTATGAGGAGTATTGGGTAGAAGATCCATTTGTTTATCTCAGCTCTCCCTAAACTTATTGACCATTAGACTATTCTTTTCAAGGAACATCTGTTGACATATCTTTAGGATGCTTTGGGAAGGGGTATATAATGGCGAAACTAAAGTTTTTCCATGTATCATTGTTCATGATAACTCCAGGCTTTTGGCATATGAGAAGTTTTATTCACATGTTAGAAAATATTAAGATAAAATGTGAAAAAGTTTTTAAAAAGAATCCTTTTGTTCTTTCCAAATTCTGAGATATTTGGGAGATCTACAAATAAAACATCTGATCAACTATTTTTCCAATTTCATAAGACTATATATATATATATATATATATATATATATATATATAAAATGTCAGAAATATTATTAAAGGAAATAAAATTTCAAATGGTAGTATATATTTGAAAGATAACAAGCGATGCCTTTTGATTAATTATTAGCCATAATAATTACAATTGCTTCTTAGTAGCTATATGGAAAATTCTATCTAAAAATATTTTACATGTCATTATCAACCTTGATACTTTCATTTTCAGGTTTTTAAGCAAAAAATTTATATAAAGTTTAAGAATCTGATAACATTCCAATTATATACCATACATTATTTCTCAATCTAAGAAAATTATACTAGGTAGAGCTATTCCTGAATATAAAATTCTTTAGTTGCAAAAGATTTATATTTTTTGCATAGAATTTTTTATGATTTTGCATGTCTGAGTAGCTATAGTCTAGTTTCTAAATAAATTAAAGGATTTTATTTTTTAAAATAAATTATACATACTGCTTTAATTTAGCATCTAAAGAGACAGCCTACATTACTATTTGTAGTTATCCTTTTAACTTTTCAGACTAGCAAACTTTTTCTTTGTTGACTTTTTGTGAAAATTCAAATAAGAACATTTGCATTTATTATAATATACTGCCAAAAATTGCATTAATTTCCATCGATGCCCATTAATTTGATAAATGTTTTGTCATTTGTACCATTTGCACTGTCAAAACAATTTAATTATATCTTACTGACATTTTTGACAATTGCTCTAACTCTGGCAAAAAAAAAAAAGTATGTGTTATTTGTTTCAAGAAAAATTTATTCTTGTGTATTGAAAGCTTGAATTAAACAAGAGAAGACCAGCTCATATCATAAGTCTTGCAAGATTCAATCTAGGATAAATAAGAAACAATGATTTCTTAGAATTCTTACAGAAGTGCTCATGTTTTGTAGTATAAAATTTTATGTACCTGCATAATCTGTTCTTGCGTAATGCCCATCTTCAGATTTAGTAGTTGTAGTTGTGTTATCTGTGTTAAAAAATTAATAATAAAGATTGATTAACTGTCTCCTAAATATTTAATATCAAACATACCCAGCAGTATCTTCATTGCAGTTAAAGTTTTTTTTTTTTTTTTTTGTACTATAGTTCTAAGCAACCTGTGTACAAAGACAGATTTCCAATGCATATTTCTGCTTGGGAAAAATTAAGAAAATAATGCCAGTTTTCTAAACTTTGAGACAAGGAGATAATTCATAATTATAACTGAGATAAGTTGAATAAAGGAATAACAAATCAACCACCCCTCAAATGTTTGTATCTGAACAAAAAAAATGAAATAGAACATTCCATATATCTGCTTTTTAAAATATACTTGAATATTTCTACTAAATCAACATAAAAATGGTGTGATTTGCTTTTAATCTCAGGATTCCTAATAAATTTTTAGATTATTTGTTAAAATTCATTTTGACTTTCTTTTTACTCTTTGCAACAAGAATGCCTGTTATCTTCTGAACATTATCTTCTGTGTCCATGATACTGTGACAATATAGTCCCATTATATAGAAAAAGCTGCAGACTGTTGCTGATAGACCCTCAAGCACCTATAATCAACACAAACACTGTAGTAGACTACACCATCCATTGTAAATCAGAACTGTCTTTTGGAAATGAAATAGCTGCCTAATAAGGAGTTATCTTCACTTTTCATTTCTGCACAAAGACTAAAAACATTCTTTGAAATGAAGTTTGGTATGAACATTACCTTGACATCGACCCAAAGACATGACTTCAATTTTCTCCTGTTTCTGACATGATGCTTCTTTGATTTGACATGCATTATCATAAGATTTCCCATCAGAAGCACAGAGGGGATTGAAGTTGGTTTGAGAGCAGTCAATGTTGCACACACACCTAAAGGAAGAAGAGAGAAGTAAAAATATGTAACATCAATAGTATTGTTACCACACTATAAATAAAACACAAAGGGAAGAATTGCTAGTTTGGCAGAATACAGGTTGGTAAAATTTAATTGTATTCTTCCAGGGGAGCTCCTTGCACTTTTCTATCTGAGATGAGAAGAAATAGAACCAACAGAAAATAATTCAAAATATTGAAGAAGGGATAAAAAAGAATAGAGAAAACTTCAGAAAGTGATCATCAATTAAGCTCTGCCTCTGGAACTTTTAAATTGTGCACATAAACTTCCAAGCTGATGTGTGCAGAATTTGAATAGGCCAAGAAAATCATGAAACTGCTCTAGAGTCTTTAAACTGTAACCTTACTGTTCTTTCCTTTCTCGGGGTATCTCAATGTTTAAAGCTTGAGGAAATGACTCAGATGGCAGTTAAGAGAAAACAAGGAAATTATTTGGAATATAAGAATGAGTGAAGTTTCTTCAAAAGAACGTACATAAATTGTGCTAAATGGGAATCTTCAGTGGTCCTTAACATTTTTGGGTGTCACTAAACCTTTTGGGAATGAAATAAAATCTATAAATTGCTTCCTAGAAATTGGCAATACTCATATAAACAAGCATTTGTATAAAATTTCTGGGAACTCTTAGGCCCTTTGATCCATACCTATGGATTTTTTCCAAGATATACATTGCCTTTTTTCTACCTCTCAACTTAAATAATGAAATAATGAATGAGTAGATAATCATTCATAATGTTAACATTTTTTCAGCATCTAAACAATATTTGGTGAACTAATAAGAATTAGGTCATCTAAACTATAATAATTAAACATTTTGAAGTATACTTTATATGATTTTTCAATGTTCTTCTAATTAATGCTGTAATTTATTTTGTTATTCAGAATATTGTGATTTTGGGTGTGTATGTGTGCAAATCAGTTACTGATTTAGAATATAAATTCATATTTAAAATTATTATTAATGTTTACATTATTTTCCTAAAGAGATTATATGCTATTTGAAGATGTGAATCACACAGTTTGCTCTGAACATCTTACTTGAGCTGGGAATATAATGATAACAATAATAACCAGCCTTCGACATGTTGGCCTCTTAACACACATTGTTTTATTTTATCCTCACAACATTCACTTTATAGACCCAGATATTACATAACATCAGAACTAGTTGATTGTAGAACAAGGATCCATTTACAGATATGTTAAGCTAAAACCCAACCCTTTCCCCCTAATGCCACATGTTGTAAATTAGAATTTCCCAGATAAATACACAGATTCATAAGTAGAGTCCTGGGCTCCAGTAAATCTGGGTAGAGACTGGGATTTTGTATTTTTTAAGTACCTGACTCACTTTTGGGAAATCACTGCTTGATCTGTGTGTTTACTGAACCAGGGAGTATTTCATACATCATACATGTTAGAATTACGTAGATTGTTATTAATAGTGCTGGCAGGAAATGTGATCATGCAGTGACATAGTATTCTCTATTTTCTTTCTTCTTCTTCTTTTTGTAAAAGAATTGCTGTAGGAGCACTTGATTATTTTTACATTTACCTATTTAGCAACACATAGCTAGGCCAGATGGTAACAACTCTAAATGCTTAACTCGTTGAGGAGCAGTGTTCCTACCTCCGCTATCATGTCAAGGAATATTGCTACCTGAGTTTAAGACTTGGCTTCTGAAAACTGGAGCTTGGGAGCTGCCTGCGTATTTAAAGAGCTTTTGCTTCTCCCAGAGAGAATCCAGAGAAGAGATAGTATGTCAGAGTGCCTTCACCATATGTATTCAATAAAGAAGGAATGGGGAGACTTGACTTTTTGCATTTTAAAAAAAGGTGGCTTGGGGCTGGGGCTGTAGCTCAATGGTAGAGTGCTTGCCTGGCACACGTGAGGCCCTAAGTTTGATCCTCAGCACCACAGAAAGATAAATAAATAAAATAAAGGTATTGTGTCCATTTACAACTAAAAACAAAAAATGTGGTTCATTTTGCCTTTAAGCCAGTTTAGGTTTGATTATGTGTCTAATTTTCAAGAGTCTTTTTAAGAAGATAAATGTTTAGCAGAAAGAAAAGTATGTTGTTTCATCTACCTAAATAGTAAAGTAAAATATCAAGGGCTTTATGAATATCTCTGAATTAAGCCCAAAGAAATGCAGGAATGCATACCAAATATATCTGGACTCAAAATAACTGACAGTTCTGAAATATATTTGATATAACAAAATGATGAAATAAGAAGAGAAAGAGAAAGTTTGGTTGAATTGACCAGAATCAATATTTCAGTGAGAAAAATTCACTTAATTAAGCCATAATCCTAGAACAATTATTCAGGATATTTTAATAAATCATCTTTCCAATTGGCTGACTCCTTTTATTTCCCCTTTATTTATTCTTCTTCTAGTTTGACTGATTTGGTGTTAGTGCCACAGAATTCCCACCACCCACACTGTCCTCCCTCTCCTTTCCCAGCATTGCTTGCTCAGGGCCTCCTTTCAAGATTTGTTTTCCCTTTGGAAATTTCTGGCTCTTGCTGCTTCAAATAAAGCCTTTCAGGAAATGGATAAGAAAAAGATAGAGATATCTGGGACTTTTAGTCTCATCTCAAATGGAGGACAGAGATTCCTTGAGATGAAGTTAAGATGTAGTTTTCCTGGGATATAAGCTTCATGCACACGTGGGCCATTTTGGTCTTTTTCTATATTGCATACCTTCATTTTACCTCCCTCTTTCTTTCCTACTTGCTGGACTTCCAATATAATAAATAAATCAGTATAAAAGTAAACAACAACAACAAAACTTTCTCGAGAATGTCAGCAATCACCGGAAAAAGGAAGTCTATGAAGATTATTATTATTATTTTTAATATGTGGAAATAGCTTCAAGGATTTGCTAAAATAGCTAGAAAACTTCAGTTTGGGAAAGGAAAATGTTGTGACTGTATTACCAAGAACCCATCATTTGTTTCCATTATACCAATTAGCTCTGATTATATAATCACTTACTGTATTTTGTGCATCTAAGTCTGTTAGAAGCTTTATTAATTGGAAACACAGGCAGGGTTCCAAGATCATAGTCTAATATTTTAAGTCCACCTTGACCTCTATTGACACAGACTAAATAATCTTCTAATACTTTGGACACACTAAACTTTCCATGAGTACATGTTGTACAAATAACTAAATCAAATGAGTAACAATTTTGTGTTCTCAAAAAAGAGTAGCCACTATTACTGTCTCCATCTCATAGATAAGAAAATTGATTCTTGAAGAAGTCACACAGATTTGTAAGGGGGAAAAGCCTATTTCAAATCTAGGCAGTTTGACAACAGAGCCAGCACTATTCTACATACTGAAAGTTGAAGAAAAAAATAGAACAGATATAGATTCCTATCATTAACAGATTAAAGGGATACTTTGTGGATAAACAAAATTTGAAACACACTATATTTATTTTTTGGAATATTTATTGTAATCTTATGAATTTACATTGACTCTTAGTCTCCATCAACCCAAACAAGTGATCCAACCTTTTTTATATCAACCTTTTTTTATATCACTTTTTTTATATTGGTGAATGTTAGTTTTAAGATTGTATAAATGAATAATTTATTCTTAGAATGAATAACCAATCTCATTGGCATTACCCTCACTACTTAAAGCATCAGTTCATCAGAAATTGTATCCTTAAATAAAATGCTATATAATGTTGGCTCCATGTAAAAAGACGTTTAAGTACACATACAAAAAATACACCCCAATAGACTTTATCGAAATTACACAATTTGAGGGTTTTAGCAGTAAATCTTTTCCAAGACTCAGCATTCTTTGAAGCAGAAACTTTCTGAAAGTTTATGTACAAAGAGAACAGGGGCTTTGCTTGTTTCTATTAGTGAATGGATTTGTGTATGTTGCGGTGGGGTGGGCCCACACCTACCTCCATGGTGGCATTTACTACACTGTTAATGTGCCTATTTAACAATTTATATCTTTACTTTTCCATAACCTTTTCAAGGGAAAGGCATATTACTTATCTTTGAATTCCTGGTATCCAGCACTTTGTATTGTATGGTCTTTGAGATTGCTTGTTGAATGAATTGCTGAGAGAATGGCCAGATGGAGTTGGAAGGAGTACAAGAAAACAGTCCCTGTGCTAGACATCAGCACTGCCGAGGAACATTTTGGGATATCCTAAATTAAATTTAAAGGGACTGGAAGGGGTGGGGTGGGGTAACTAGAGGATGGTAGTCAGTAAAGGAGTGTGGAAATATAAACTTGAAAGCTTGATTCAGACCCCTGTTTACTGAATTTCAGGTGCCACTGCACCCCACTTTTGAACTTTCTCAACTATTAACCTTGACAAATCATAAAGCACCAAGTACTTTTGATGAATGAATGGACTTTCCATCTATCCCAAGATTTTTCCTGCTTCAGGTTATCCTACCCCTTTCATCAATAATTAATGTAAATACAGTGCAAACAACTTAAACCTATTTCCTCAGATTTCATTTTAAAAACACTCTTCACTTTATAGTTAGAAGACAGCTCTAATTGCTCTCTAACCTTGTTGCTGTTACTAGCTAAGCTATCCTAGGACCTAGACCTTCCTTTTTTTCTCTCAAATGTACATAATTGCTCAATAATTCCTCTGATTTTAGAGAACTCTCTGTCTCACGAGTTTTGGTTTAATAACAACTAAGAGAGATAACTGGGGATATAGTCATGAAAATTCTCATCTACTTTTGTGCTACTTGGCACATGTGAGGCCACCAAGGAGATTGCAGCTCCTAAACAACTAAGGCTCACATCTTCCTTTCTTTGTCTTTCCACAGCAAGGTTACTGGTTCTTTAGGACCTCAAACACTTTGGTCTCTCATTGTGTCAAGGAGACGCTTCCACTGGCCAGGCCACTACTTATATTTTGTAATCTTTAGATACAGTTTTTGGCACCACTATAATTTAACTATGATAGCAACTTGT